CGTCTGCTGATTCCATTAAGTTATGTTATGATAAGAGATCTACTGAAGTCAGCTTTGTACAAAGAGACAAGGTGTGGTTGTAAAATCCCTGGAAGACCAAAGGGAAGTCTCCTAAGTTGTCTTCTCCATGGGAAGGCCCATATGACATAGTTGATCGTCTCTCAGACGTGACTTTCCGAATAAAATGTGGTTGGCGAGGTAAACCAAAGGTGGTGCATGCCAACAGGAAATTAGTAAACGAGCAAATATGTAACCATATTTTTATGTAGTACAGGCAATAAACTCTTTATTTGTATTATGCTTTATGTAGTTTGAGGTTCCCAAAATAACTTAGATTTTAAACAGTGTACACCAGTTTGACAAAACTGTAATGTTTTTATGTTATTTTTATGAACATTTTATACACCTTATTACCTAAAGGTTATGGTGTTTCTGAATAAATTCTTAGTTCTTTCTACAAATTAAAATGAAATTGTTGGTAGCTTTATTGGCTGTTAAAAAGAACATTCTGGAAAACTTTCTTTCTTATTAACTGTGATGAAAATTAACACAGTGTAGGTACTGATATGTTTTAATAAACCTATAATGGATCCAATGTGGAAAAAGCCTCTGCTTAAAAGTATACACACCAATTACTACTAGAATGTAGGAAAAGTTTGTGCTTGTATGGTAGATCACATATAGTCTTTTATGTAACATCAGTATTTTTGTGCCAGGACACAATGACAAATGAACCTACACCTTAAACTTTTTGTGGGAAGCATCACCCAGTTATTTTATTTTTCAGCACAGACTAATATAAACAAACATATGTATTGCTGTGATCAATTTTGTAAATCACAAACACATCTGAGGTGTATTTTTTTATCTTAAGTAGATCTTGCTTTTTCAAATACTTGAAATATCCTATGGTTTACTAAATTCCAATTAAAACGTTTTTGCAACTATATTAACAATATTTTCTAGCTTTCTACATCACACATATATCAAGGAATAGGATCCTGGCTGAAAAAGCAAGTGCTGTTAAGACTTTTTAATTTCGACTATTCTTTCACAGGAAAGCTGGAGGAAGCCTCTAGTTTCTTAGAGTATTCAGAAACCTTGTGGCTGTAAATAACTTACTCATGCACAGAAACCTTCTAGGTAAAAAAACCCAGTTTTCACTCTCTTTAACAAAATTTATAAAACATAAAGATTAAAACACACAATAGTAAACATTATTAAATATTTCAAGAATAGACAACAGGTATTTAGACTATAAACTTTTAGAAAAAGTCATTAATAAAATTAACTGGTTCCAAACTTGAGATTCTTAAAGATTACAAGGATAATTTCATTAAGATTTTACACTAATAAAGCTATATAAGGAAAGCAGCAATATTTTAAAACACCTAAGTGTTTATTAAGCATTCTTAATATTTTTGAAAAATAGTTCAAATAATAATTCACAAAGCATTAAACTAGTTCATTATTCTCACTTAAATTAAATACAGAATCTGACATGGTGTTCTCTAAAATCACTGTGGTGAGTGTCAAAAAGTATCTCTGTTAGAATCAACTTGATGATAAACTAGCTTCCTACAAAACTAATATTTAAGCTAGTTATCTAAGTCTTCTAACTGTCCATTTGGGTAACTTTGGTCAACTTTCTTGATGTCAAGATGGTTCTCCATGGACAACCTGCTCTCTGCACTAAATACAGTTTTCTTTCCTCCAAAAAATTTGTCAACATTCTCTTGCTGTCAAATATTTTCTCTAAAATTAATTCATAGACTTTCATGACTGTTTAATTTCTACACTAAACCCATTGAATTAGATTTTCTACTTGAATAAAACCCAATAACTGTCATGTTTTATTTCTAAAAACATCTCTGACAATTAATCTGTCACATTTTTTACTCTAGAATAAACCTGCTGTCAATTACTTCTAGAATAAATCCATAGCCTGCCTTATTTATTTTCTAAAATGATTCTTATACTTCTTTACACTTTAAAATATATTTTTTAAATATCAAGTTAGTCCTACCATTTTACTGCTTTTAAGTTAGCAGTGTTGACCACCTTTCTGTCTGCCAAACTTCTTTTTTGTATCAAGTTACTACTTGTTTAGTTTGTGATAAGAGATCACTTTTCTAACTGCAGTGTTTGTCCTCTAGAATCATCCTGTTGTTTTCATATTTTCTTTGATCACACTACTAACTGTAAAGTTTGTAACCTATGATCAACTTACTCATGTCACTTTATAGTTTAATATCAACCTACTCATTGTCCAGTTAAGTTATCTAAGAATAAGTTAATGATTTTCACTTTTGTAATATAATATAAAGTTTAAATCTGTCACATTCATAACCTAAGTTCAACCTGAACACATTTTCATTTCCAACCTAGGATGACCATACTCATTATGAAGCTTCAAAAACACTATATTTAAGATGATCAGGATAAACTTTTATGTATGATAAATATAACAAAAGCTGTAACATGCTTTTTTTGTAAAATACCAAAATAACAACTACAAGCAACAATATTTTACTGATGGCAGTTGCTGTTCATATATTGTACATCCTAAGCCAGTTGCTTATAAAATGCACAAACTGAAACCCTTTCCTACACTTTACCCATTAAAAAACTATTATACATAACTCTTAAACACATTTCGGAGTTACTGAATCACAAATAAAGTTTTAAAGAATTGAAGAGCAACAAAAGAACAAATATTAATTCAGTACCATATACATATATTTCAGCCTGTATTAATTACAACAAACAGGAAGACTTATTAGTTTGCTTTTCATAATACGTTGATAACTCTGGAATTATACTTATCTTTCCTTAGTCATTATAAAATACTCTCAGTGCTTTATAAACAATATGCAGCATTCCTGTGTTACTTCAGAACCTTATTAAGATTATGATTACATATTACAACCATATGAGTTATCAAATAAATATTTTACAATTAATGAAAACTTAATATTGCAAACTACAAATGTACTATAAGTTCTTTGTGTATCAATAATTTTTACGTTACCTTAAAAATACTATTTACTTATTTCAATAACCTAATACAATGAGGTTACACGATTTTTTTACATTTTCATTATATTTATGAAGGTCGATCTCTTCAAAAATATAGTGATCACCTATATGTATATAATAACTTTTAAAACATGTTGTTTTCTATAAAAGAAAAAAAAAATTCTTTCATCATATCTTTAACTTTACTGTCAATATGACAACAATGAAATGCTTCAATAAAACAACTTTAAACAACAAATACTATTTACAACTTATTAAATACACATGTACATGAAACTTTCTAAAAACAAACCTTATACCTACATCATACCTATTCTTTTAATTTATTTTTCAACAGTCAAACACTAATATAGTGCAACAGAAGTTTTGTCTTGTGTTTGAGACCACAAAGCTAACTTGTACTTACATAAGAAATGCAATAATTACCTGTCGGTAAAATTTAATTGTATATATATACACACACACTCAAGAAAAGGTGCATTACAGTACATCAGATAAAACTAAAGTAACAAATTTTTTAAACTGTAATTTCATCCAATCAACATGTTGAGAAAAACATTATGGTATATACTCTTCAAATGAAAATTCTCATCACGCAATTTTTTAATTTTGTGATATTTTTAAAAAAAGTAAAACAGCACACAAATTCTAGTGAAAAAACACTGCACTCTATTAAAGTGAATTTCTATCACAGGAACTGAACCACACGTTAGAGAAAAAGATGTATTGTTTGAATAGATGTATACATTCAAAGCATCTGAGACTAAGAAACAGATGGAATATCATAAAGGATATACATCCAAAAATCTGAAGTTGAGATAAAAAGTGTAGCATTAATGTGTATATAAAGTATACAAAATATAAACAAGAAAAAATATCAGTGGGGATATATCTCCAAAGAATCTAAAATCTTAAAACAAAAGATGTAACAATAACGTAAATATATGTACAAAACAGGTAAACTCTAAAAAACAACTGTGGGATTAGACAATGTGCATTTAAAGTATTAAAATTTTAAAAATAGGGGATGCAAAATTAGGGGGATATAAGTCAGCAACATCTAAACTTTGAAGAAAAATAATGTAGTTTAGAGTAGATTATACATCTAAAGCATCTGACCTATAAAAAGCAATTTGTAATAATTAAAGTAGATATACATCTAAACTTATAACGCAAAAAGTACAGAGTAAGTATGTATGTGTCTATAACCTTTAAACTATAAAAACAAGAAATGTGATATAAGACTGGATGCACATCCAAAGCATGCAAATTCTTAAGCTGCAAGCAATTTAGTTGAGTTAATACTTTTTTGAAACAATTATAAACACAACAGAAGAGTTAAAATAATTTTAGGCTATAAAATGATGAAAATGATACCACGTAGAAAATTAAACAATTACAAAGGTATGCTGAGTGACACAAGGGAAATGCTAGGATGTGCAACAAGTAAGAAAAACAGCACATAACGATGCAGAACATGATGTAGTGGTGAAAAATAAATCACTGTGAGAAAATAAATTATTTATTAAAATTAACTAAAGATATAGTTGGAGATATAAATGACACAAATGAAATTATTAAAATATTGAAATAAAATGAAATTTATAAATAAAATTTATATATAAGCCCAGCAAATAAAATGGAGAGGAGAAGTGACAGCATAGATAATTGCTGATAGACAGATATAGAGACAGATAATTGAGTCAAGTGAGCGGTAGTGACCATAAGTAAAGTGCGTAAATCGTTGTAAATTATAGCATGTGCTTAAGTTAAAGTGACTGTGGAACTTCTGTGTATTGCAAAGTTGTATTGAGGAAGAATAAACTAGTGTTATTTAAGAAAGGACATGTATCGCTGAAGTTCCTCGGGAAGAATTTTTACGGGATATTAACAAATGACCAGAGACGTAACAATATAGTATATTTACATTCCAAAGACCTGAATTTTAACAAAGAAATGTAGTAATGATCATCAAATGGATTTGAATAATAGAATGAAAAATAAAGTATTAACTTAATACATGTTCTAAACAAACTAGTAGAAAGCTGGAAACAAAATTACAACTTGTAATAAAAACTCTGCGGAATGAATAAAATAATTTAAAATGACTCCAGCAACCAACCTAAAATCATCAACTGTCTTCTAGCCCAAATTTAAAGTAATAATGAATTATGCAATTAGTAATACATTACTAACATGCCTTTTTAGACATTTAATGATAGTACATATTAGTTCAGGTTAAAATCTCGTACATTTGGTAATTGCCAGAAAACATGACAGGTGCCATGACATACCTATTCATCTTTCTTGGAGTGTGCAAATCTATTTATCACAGAGCTACATTCAATAAAACTTTACAGTTACACATTATAAATATTTCTTCTTACAAGAACAAATTCTAAACCTTTATACATTGTGGAAGAAACTATTGCAACTATAGAACACACAGCTAAATAAAAATGTGATACACCTTTATACATTACTATGAAAGTGTAAAAGAAACATTTAAAAGCATATTGGGTTAAAGTTATCTCCCAATTCAACTTTATACATTTTAATGAATTTAACAGCAGTGATTTACAAGTTTGCTTTTCAGCTTATGTATAAAGAAGTCACTATAATAAGAAATAGTATACTTTAAGCTTGCCTAAAATAGCTAAAAAGCAAATTTTAATAAATACTAAAAATATCTACAATGCACATGAATGAAATAAACTACAAAACATTATATCAGTAGTCCACAATATTCACAGGTTTTCTTCAGCTGCCCAGATATCAACTTTGAACTTCTGTTGATGACAGTAGAGGAGCCTGTTTTGCTGAGCATTCAGTTGACTTCTGGTTAGCGACATCAATAGTAGCTTCTGAATCAACTGCTTCTAGCTTTACATGTTCTGCAGTACTGACTTCCTCTTTTGCTGTTTGAATTTTTGGTGTTTCAGCTTCTATCCGTAGAATACTTACCAGAGGTGGACTGAGTGTGCCATTCTGTTTAACTGCATTGGCTAGTATAGGAGCATTGATGGCCTCCACACTAGCTCGAGGTGTGTGCCACTCATTCTTCTTCCTAGACACAGTCTCATGATTGGTTGGAGGGCTAGAATCTTCACAGAAATTCTGAGTAAAAGGTGCTGTAGGTGATAAGACAATCTGCTCTGAACGACCTCCAAGAATGTTCACTGTGTTTAGGACCTTCTCTAGTTCCCCCTTAAATGGATCTTCCAGATTGAAATCAGAACGTTGTTGTTGGCGTTCCATACAAGTGGCCCTGTAGGCAGCTAGATACACAGCTCGGTGAACTTTCATGTACAATGTATCACTGACAGCCACTACAGTGTAATCTGGAATGAAGGTTGCTTTCAACAGGGTTGATTCTGATGGTGTGTTGGTCAAGCTGGGTGATGAGCCAGGTCCTAGAAGCTGTGAAGCAGATTCTCCTGTGAATAATCAAGAAATAGCATCTGCTTAACATGCTGCTAAGTTATCATAGATGTTGGGTTTCTTATTTTCCCAACTGCAGTGGATAAAAGTCTGTAGAAAAGTTTAGTCACTTTTATTATGTTTCAGCCATAATCTAATAACACTTGCAAATTCACTGATATTATATTTACAAAGTAATGAAACAGAATCAAAATATAAATAAGTGTAATTATTATGTTTTCTATGCATCACTGTTTGTAGCTATTAAAAAGTAGATAGAATGAATTTATATAAGCCTGTGGCATAGCCAGCATCAAATGTATGTGGATGCATACATCCAAAGCTCTATTGGTGGTTCTGGGGGGCAAGTCGTTATAACCAGTGATATATTGAAATAAAATACGAATGAATGGGAAGATATTACTTTTATATTTCTTTATATTTTATGTTCATACATTATATATATATTATATATATTTAAAAAAAATTGTGAAAATGATGTGGATGCTTCAGCTTACATGATAGCTATACCACTGTAAGCATATTAGTTGACTCATTTACTTTCTGAAGAAATTAACAAATGGTATAAATGCTGCTATGGGATAAAAAGTACTGAAACAGAAAATTAAGAGTATAGGGATACAGGTATAGGTTGTGCTTCATGAAAAAACAAACACAATATTTGACATAAATGGGAAAAATCCCCACAAAAAGATTCTTAAATATGCATTTTGGGCCAATACACATCAAAAGACCTGAACATGCAGTTTTCAGTGTAAAACATTGAAATTAGTTATAATTGTTGGAAACGGCTTGAATGGGTAATGAAGAAAAACTTTAATATAAGTTTAACATAACAGCAAATGTACAATGTTTCAACAAACATCTAAACATGTAATAAATGGTTTGTTCTTGTCCTTTAGAAATGTTTAAGCCAATATAGCTTCCAGTTCAGTGGAGATTCAAAATATTGTGGTAGAGACTTAGCTTGGTGATATACTGCTGGAAGAATAGATGTTAGTGAATAACTTCCACTAGAACGATTGTCTTGATTTTCTTTTCTAACAGCTTGCTTTATCATTTTATACTTCATATGAATTACGATGCTGCTGTATGATAGGAAATGTTTTGAGAAACAAGATGAAGTAGGGTTAGTTAAATCATTTTGCACTTGACTGTAACAATTTCTTCAAATCAAAGATAAAACTTATAATTTTATAAAATAAAAACTTTATGTTCTTTTGATTTAGGCTGTTGTCAATAAATTGAGAATAAATTTAAGATATGGCATTATTCCAAAATTAGACAAATAAGCACATTTCTTCTTGCCACATGAAAACTGTTTTGTAATTGTTGCGTCTGAGAACATTTCAACAAAAAGTAGACTGGCATCCGAACAAAAGTTGTAGTAGTATGATCTAACAACTTTCACTGTCCACAGAATTTCAGATTTTAGACAATCCAACCTTGATATAAATGGTGTCAGTGATTGCTGTGAGGTACACGTTCTTGTGGCTATGTCAGCTGGGGGTGGATGAGCGAAGTTAGTTTGAATAGCACTTTTATTAAAAAAAAAGATTCTATTCCTCCCAATGAACATAGTCTGCAGCTTGTCAAGTACAAGTGGAGAGAACAAAAAGTGAATGAGATACTGCAAGGATGTAGTAAAGAACCTCTCCAACTTGATGAGAAACACCACCTGAGCATCTTCTCAAAGAAATAATTGGGTGTGAGTGATTGAATGGGCAAGGAAAGGGGTGAGCAAAATTTGGTGAGACTGAAGACCCAGCGAGTGAAGATGACATACAAAAGAGTACACCACTTGACAAAACACATACGGAGATGAAGAAAGACCAAACACCAGTGCCCAGAACTGGAAGACAGAACCCTCGTGGAAGAACTGAAGAAAAACGACATGACAGTTGGGCAAAAAAAAATACTGAAGTGTCTCCAGACAAGAATACAGCCAGGAAAGATCTATGACGGGACTCCAATCTCTTGTGTTTTCAGAGACAACAAATAGATGGGAGTAAAATCCCCATTGAGAGGGCACCACCAGTTTGATAGCTCCTCTGTGTTGTAAGTCTCGAACAGATTCAGCAAGATGACTGGACAAGGTACGATCCCAAGGAAGAGGGAAGGAGATCTGGGAAGTAGATCGAGAGAGAGCAAAACGGAAGGTAGAAACCATTGAACTGTTGTGAGGTGTAGCCAAAAAGACACAAAAACTAAACATTCATATTACTAACAAAACATAGAAATGTGTAAAGTCTACAAAAGACATAAAAATAACAAACCTGCAAAACTATGAAATTTGACCTAAAAAAAAAGAAAACAATAAGTAACACCAAAAGTACAAAATCAAGAAAGAAACGTAAAAGATAAATGACCCTTAAATACTGAACCAATAAGTCCACCCCAAGAATCTATAAAACAAAGGACATGAAAATAAAACCTACCCTAAAGAAAGTGAGAAGAAAAAGGTACCCAGTTAACAAAACATGATTTAACTCAAATCTAATCCCCAACTAGATGTGACTAGTAGTAAAGAAAAATGAACTTACAAACAAAATAACATTAATAATGAAAAGAAGTAAAAATGCAAACAAAAACAAAGGAATAATCAAACTCCAAATGCAAGTTTACACTAAATCAACCTATATGGTAAAAGAAGTATAAAAATATAACTTACCCAACATTGAGAAAAGAAAACATGAATGACCTAAATTACTGAGTGCAAAAATTAGGTCCATCTACACAAGCTCACATAAAGCCACTGAACATGGGTATATGTATGGGGAATGAGAAATACACACAGAAAAACTTACCATGGATCTCCTGGGGAAAAGAACATCTAACCCCTCATATTACATGGTGGTATGGTAACAGGTGGAAAGTATTGTAGAAAGACAATTTACACACAGTAGTTATATCCCTCTTTACAAAAATCATTATGTGAAAGGAAACAAATTGAAACAAAGGCAAACAATTTTTGGAAAACTAAGTTTATTTATTAGGAAAAAATCACCGGTGAATGTAAGACATGAACTAAATCTTGTACTTCCCCTGCAGACATAATAGATCCTCAGACCTGGGGATTAATACTCTATTTATGGTGGGAATTTCATCATCTACCATATTAAATCTCAAATTCATATGAACAAAGTAGAATTTTGAAACAAAAACATTTCTAAAACAAATGAGTAGAAATAATGGAAATCAAACACAAGAAGTTGAAAGTAATATAAAAAGTGATCAAGAACAATCAAAATCTCGTAGTCACATGTAGAACAAGTTAAAAACACATGTTTATACACTAGAATGCCAATTGTGAAAGTGAGGATTGTGCTGCAATGGTAGAGGGAGCTATCTGCACTAGTATAGATGGTACAGTATGATTGGTGGAGGGTAGTCACATGATCAGTACATGTTGCCGTAATGGCACAAAAATGTATAAATAACAGGTACACTGTTGAAAATTTTAGCAATGCTTAGAGGGCAAATCAAGGTTGAGAGAGCTTTGGGTGTAAGAGGTAGTACTATTTCAGAAAAGAATTAAATTTATAATTTTGGAATTGTTTTCATATTTACAATTTATTAGTCTATTACGGCATCTGTACATTATATTCTGCACTTTTTTCTCTCCAAATACTTCTTGAAAAATTGACTGCACATTATATTTGGGTAAATACGGTAATATAAAAATTCTGTAATGTTCTATTCTATAATTTTCCCAACAAAATAATTTGTAATTAATAAATAAAATATTATTTTCAAAACTCCACAAACATACACTGTACATCAAATTCACCCAGCCAAGGTATTCCCCAGCTATGAATTGGTACAATTCATTTTGTTCTTGTAAAGAAATTAAATATCACTGTTATGACATTCCAAGTGCATGCCTTATTTATTGTAAACTACAGATACTACTATTGTGTAGTATTAAATAAGCATGATAAAGTTTGGCTATTAAATGAATATTAATTACATGAAAGTTACTTTTATGATTTGCTTCCATGAGTAAGGCAGTACACAACTGAAACAGCAAGTATGATGACAGTGAATTCCATGCTTTGTTCAAACATGTATTTCATGCCATAAAATACAGCTCTCCAAATATTTTTTTTCTTTAAAATCCTCCCAACCTTAAGGCAAGACTAAACTGATGACACTCTATGGAGAGATTGTAATAATGGAATAAAACCTATTATGACAGGCTTAGGTAACATATGGAACCAGAAGTTAAAAGATATAGATAATATTTGACAGCGGTAGTCACGTGACGCTGGTAACACGTCATGATATTCTAGAAGGATTGGGGAACATCACGAATAATCCAGTATGTGCTAGGCGCTCTCTACTCCTGTATATAAGTGCGCCAGATAACGTGAGACAAATTAATCGGAATTGAATTGCAGACAGGCAGAGATAAAGACGGACAATTGAGTCAAGCGTGGTAGTGACCGTAAGTAAGTGTGTGAATCATTGTGAATTATAGCGTGTGTTTAAAGTGACTGTGAAAATTAAGTGTATTACAAAGTTGAATTGAGAAAGAATAAACTAGTTTTATTTAATGAAGGACTTGTATTGCTGTAGTTTTTCTGAAAGAATTTCTACGGAAAATTAACAAACGAACACAGAGACGTAACAATATATAAAAAATAAACAGCTGGATTGGATAATGAATACAGCCAAAATATAAACTGGATGTTGTTATCAGTAGTATATTAACATATTGCTCATTAACAAGTAAAAATTGTTGTTCTGATTCACTGGCAAATAACTTGTTGTAAGAAAAGTATATTTGATTAGCGATACTGATTGCCAGTTTCCATGATGTACATAGCCTACTTTGATTGAAGATTAATATTAATTATTAACAAATATACTCACACAACATTTTCTCAGGTATATGTCTGAAAATCACTTCCATACTTAAAATGTGACATTACATCATTTTTATATGATTTGGGTTTACATATCTTGACTTTTATCACTTTATGATGTCTTCATAATGTGCAAAGCTTTTTGATACTTTTTTCGTTTTTAACCTTGTTTTATTTGTTTTAATCAACTGATATTTTAATATGTGGATAACAAGTCTCTGTTTTATTAAGTAGGTAAAATTGTCAGTTTAATACCTATGAGATTGTGTAAATCCTAAAGTTTTGTCATCCTTCACTGAAATTAGTTTACCTATTTCCGTTATTCACAGGAGTCAAAACGTTTGCTTTTAGCTTAACAAACATTTTCTTATGTGATAAAGTAATTATGCTACAATGACTGCTCTTATAGGTTACATTTTAACTTATGTTTCAAAAATCTTCATCATTTGTCAATATTCAGTGAATAATAACAATCAACTATCTTATTAAAACTATAATAATTCTCAAAAATAAGGTGAAAAGTTAAACAAATCTCTCATAAGATTTTAAGTATTTTTAGGAACAAAATGGTGTTTTATCATACATTTAATTTTCACATAAAAGGCACTCTTACTTAACAATAAAAATATACAAACTAAATAAATAAACAAATTAATATTATAGTTCTTGGAAAAGCATAAATATATTATTTGGTTTCTTTTAATTATTCATTCACATCATCTGTTATAATTGATGTACATGCAGTGAACCACCTTACATAAAAATTCTACTAACGAATTTATTTCTTAGTTCTTGGTTAATAACATCTAATATACCTACACAATATTAACAGACACTACTTATAACACAACAATGTAGCTTACAGCATGTACATCTATGAAGATTATGAGTTTATTAAAGAGTAAATAACATTAGTTATTGTTCTTGATGTAATACCATTCCTCATAATTAAGAATCCAAAACATGTAAATGCCTCCTTCCAAAATATTTATGATCAAATAATATAAGTGTAATATATATGTAACTTGTAGATCAGTAGTTTCCAAACTTTTTTCACTAATGACACCCTAACCCAGCTACCTTGATTTGCCCAACACCACTGCTGTCACATGAAATGTTTTTTTTGTAGAGTTTTTTAAGTTCTTAGTTATTCATCATTTGGTGTATCACAACACAGTTTGGAAACAACTGTTACAGATATTGCACACTTACAGTATTAGATGTTTTCTAAACTGTACCTGGAATAATGTTATTTGTTAAAGCAGAACATCCAAAGTAGGTAAATGGTCCACCTTCAAAAACTAGGTTTTCTTTTCCAACTTGTACCCTTACTCGGCCTTCAAGAATTAGAACAAAATAGTCAGAAGGTTTTCCAGCCTGATAGATGGTCATTGCAGGAGCATTTGCATCATCTCTGGTTCTCATTTTAAGAGTGAAGAAAATGTTCTGAGCCATGAGACGACGAAGAACTGTTGCAGATATGAGTTCCTTCCTGAAAGGTTCAACAGCTGCAGGACAAAAAATATTGTTAATGTTTGAATACAACATGGTAGAGAAAGGCAAGGATAAAAAGTATTTTTAAACATAAGGGAAGGATAAGTTACAAAACACCAATTTAACCAGTATGAGAAATAATATTTACACACAAATGTTTGTTTAAACATAAATATTACTCAAAATAAGGAACACATTTCCAATTTTAGAATAAACTGTAAGATAAAATACTGTTGAAATACAAAAACAAGTTATATTATGAATACATCTAGCAAGAAAATGACAATATTCATACCTCAATAAAAGTTTAAGGTGAGATACACTATTAGATATTAATAAAGCTTGAAAGCAAAGGACTACTAAAATATGTGATTACTATAAACAATCTCAGAAATACTGATAGAATGGTAATGTTGGGTGACAATAGATATTTGAGTGGAACAGAAAAATGAAAATGCATTGAATGTTCAAAGTATCAGCTGAGGGTAAAAACAGTTGTTTCCTTAGTGAAAAGCTACACAATGAACTGGGGAATGAAACCACAGATTTTAGCATTGTAAATATGTAAGTTTACTGTTGGCTCACCATAGGACAGTAAAATAGTGATTATTAGAAACTACTCAAACATTATGAATTATGCAATGTTCATATAAACTTTCAGTACCAACTGTCCTAGCCATGTCTTGCCAACTGAGTACTTACTTGCTGATATGTGTTTATCAGCTTGCATCAAACATCTGATATCTAACATTTTGCAAAATTATTGTACATTTGGACTTTTGTTTCAAAATTTTGATATTTATTGGACATTTGAGTACTGTAGCAATATTTTCTTTGATATTAATTACATCACAAATATTACTGTATATATATAAAAAAGCACACCTTTTTTAAATCAAAATTTCATTAAAAATTTCCAATTGCCAGGTCACTTTTTTTTAGATACATGCAATTCAGATGACTAGTTAGAAGAATACTGACAAAATGGCAGATTAACCTTAAGGTGAATGACATAATACTGCAGAGACTCAAGAAACAGTGATAACTTGAAGGTGTTAGTAAGGAACACATGAATGACATTTCATGTTGCTTAAATTGATAGGTTGGTAATTTCAGCTGATTATGAATGGCTGATTAGCAGAGATTATACAAAGCATACTGAGAGGAAAGATGAATTATTATTTCAGAGAAATCAAAATATACTCATGTTAGCTAAATGGTGCTTACCCACCATATTCACCACTTCACATAAAACTAATGTTTGACTAACATGTCAAAAATAAAACAAATATGATGAAATTTTTGCTGAATTACATTCTATAACCTGTATATTGAGCATGTTTGTTTACTGTTAGCAGTAAATATCTTTGCCAAAAGTATAAAACTAACTTCATTACATTGTCAGGAACAAGATTCCTAGAAGAGAGTTTATAGAATCCCTAGCCACATCTAAGCATTTCAGGAATTCTGTATAACCTATGACTGTACTGATCATATCTCCAATCGTACACTAAATAAAAAACAAATTATACATCACTTTTTCTGATGTTGGGTGCACTTAAAAGCCCAATGTATGCAAACCTGTTACTGCAATTTTCTGTAATTTGTAAAAATATTTTCTATCTTTTTGCTATCAACTTCTTATAAATGCTGTTATGTGCATCATTTGCTCAACTTTAATTAAGAAGGTGGTAAAGTGCATTTCCAATTAACCCTTTTCAGATGGGTCACAGGTGAAAGGCCATGTCATCTCGTTTGTTGACTCGCATTAAAAATTTTACTGACTACTATTTCATGAATTTATGACAATAAGTTTGGTATCAAACTGTAGATCATAATTCAAATTTTAGAACTATACATTACTCAATTTGTTATGAAAAAAAAACACAGATAAACATCTATTTTTGTGTGTCACGTGGTATGTTGAATGCAGCACTGGTTCAGATTAGATGTTTGTGAAGTCAATATACTAAGTCTATAGTTTCATATGAATGAGAAACTCAAATTATAGATATTGAGAAGCTAGAATATAAAATAAAAAGGTCTTATCTTTTATACTTGCTAAGATATTGCTCACGTAATAAATCAAACATAGTGGCACTCCGCTCACCTCTTTCCATTTTTGGAAATACTCCCTTATATACACTTACTTCTACATATGACACGAATAACCAATCGGAATGTCCCCCTAGTGGTTTTCTCAGCCTTTCTAATGTACCTAATGCTGTTTCTTTCTTTTGAACCAAGAGTTAAATGAGGTAGATTGTGTCTTTGTCTGCTTGAAATTTAATATTTTTTTAGACCCAAATACAGCTTAGTTACTACGTTTGATAAATTATAGTGGAATTCTATGGTATTAATGTAGTAATTTATTATTTTTTTAGTTATTCAAATGTATATATAAAACCTAAAAAAATATTTTGTTTTATATCCTCCACGTGCAAAAGTTTAAAGGCTTACCAACCTACGTCAAGCAGCAACCGAGTATAAAAGTCGTAACTAGAAGAGATAATGTTTGCTTTACTTCTGTATTTACTGTTCTATGTTTTAGGAAAAATAGCTTTATGAACTTATTTCAAAATAGCAATAATCTATATACTTATATAATGTATAATAATTAAAATGTTACTGTATTTTACAAAATACTAGTCGACTAAAACATAGCCAAAACAAGTTACTTTGTAAAGACTAAAGGTCACCTTTATATTATTTGATACGGTAACATGAGTGCACATGAGCTGTGTCATTGTAAGTTCTGTATTGTTAGCTAGGCACGGGTGAAAGGTCAATATAATCAAAATAATAAATATATAAAAATGTATAATGTTATGAGATTTAAGCTATTTCTTCTAAACATTTATGTTTTTGTGTTTAAATGAAAGAGGCATAATTTATGTTTATTTCCTAATTTTTTATGGTGATTGGAAGATTGGTCCAATATACTGTACCTGTACAGTGATTAATTACTGAAAATAACAGATACAATATAAAGTTTTTTCCTTAAGAAATGTTTGATAACTATCTGGACATTA